AAACACAGTAACCCCAGTGCATGGCATAATGACTGCAAACTTGTCAGGGTTGTGCTTTTCTTTTAAAACTGTGGCTGGATGAAGAGCAGAGCAATTACTCCAGCAATCTACTTTGACAGAACACACACAGTTGTCAAAATAAAGAGTTAACCTGTGTGTACTAATGATGAGCAAAGCAGCGAATCAACACTTTGCGTACACTTCATTTGTGCATCTATTTTGGTGTTTTAATGAATGCACATATAAAAAAAGCTTGAGAAATAAGAAGCTCATAGGCGACAGACATTCCCGACTGTGTCGTGATGACAACAAAACTGTTCCAGTCACAATAAGATCAGTTGAAACAAACAGAGAACAAACAGATGCTTGTGTTTGGCAGAGCTGCCCAGACATAACTTGCAGACTAATCACAATCACATACTTGGTAAATGAAAACAACGGCAAAAACTGTGTAAACTGCTTTCGTGGCAGCCTTCAATGTTGTGATATCATTAATAAACATTGTTTCACACATAGACACTGGCATTTACAGTCAAAACCTACTATTGTATTACATCTTTTATATCTTGCTGTAGCTTAAAGGGTAGCTGAAACAAATTTACAAGTATTTCCTAGTGCTCTAGTGGAGAACACATCCAATTTCTTGACTGCTGCTACACCTGACTGAAACTGCAGCTCTATAAGTATAAAAGGTTTTTGCAGTGACAAAACAAATGGATATATTATTAACTTCCATTTAATTTCTGGTGACATAAGCAACAGCAACCATTGGCGATGCGGCAAAGTCATTTCAGCTTTAGACAAATTACCTTCAATTTATTCAATTAAAAATTCAATTCCTGAATCATCAGGTCTGAATTTTGTACCTTATATACACATCTCTGTTTCCAATCTGCATTTTTATGCATCATTACAAAATGAATTGCTATTAATTTTGAACAACCCTGCTGAACTGATCTTGTTTTATCCTTAATGAGTGGGTTTGTATCTACATCACTAATAACTATAAAAAAATCACTAATAACTATAAACAATATTTTAAAAAAATCAATATATTATAAAAACCTGACAATACGTTTACTTGAAATTTTGAAATTGACTGTATTGACATGAAAACTGAAACAAACATGCAAACAAATACCATGCTGGCAGAACATGTGCACAAGTACAAGGAACAATTTTTATTAAAAGAATTGAAGGTGGTGTTTGTGTGCACTTGAAAATTCTACACACGTTTTGTCATCCTGCATTTTTACGCAATAATGCAAAATCTGCATAAAATACAGATATGGAAACCCAGATACTGTCTACATTATATTTGTCATTTAGTCATTTGCATAAATTGAAATAACGTTGCCACATCTCTGACAGTCGTTGTCACTTATATCACCAGAAATAATCAACTCTAATTGTTTCATTTGGCATTTTCATACACAGTGTGTGCATGATTTGTGCACAGAGCAAAATTTTGATAATGTGCAAAAAAACAATGGCCACATACACACTAAAGTTCCAGGAGTGACAACTGCATTTGTATTTTATGTCCTTTACCCAATAAAGGAACATCGTTTAAGGCATTTACAGGCCTAAGCATTATTGGTGCAAGATGAATGTCATTCTGTGTACCATCTGTACTCAGTTACTGCCATTACTGCAGACTTTGCAAAAGTGCAATATGCTTTATGACGTGCTGTACACTAATGGCCACGTGGATTTGTCGTCAGGGCAAGGTGTGAGATATTGCTTTGGTTTAACGGGGCTGTAAATCTGTCCCATGCTTTTGTCTTTGCTCTGCCAGCAGTTCACACTGATGAATAGGCTTTGTCAGATTAGTATCAACATAGTGTGGTGTCAAACTGCATTACACTGCAGTTACGTTCCTTAGAGCTGTGCATTTGACATGTAACTCTGCCCCCCCCCCCGGTGTCCTCCTAAAGCGTTTTAAAAGCTCCCCACGGACCTGTGGTATCAGGGTCATGTCTTCAAATTATTCCTCTTTATGATTTTTTTATTGTCTTTCTGTTGTCCTCCACCATGAAGCTACTGCACCCCTGCGAGCGGCATTTTTTCAATCCATTGAGATGAAACCCAATGGAGAAGGTTCACTGATGAGTCAGTAGGCGGTTAGTCTGCGGTGTGGTCACCAAGTTTGTGTGGTTATTTCCTACTAAATTGTGATTATTTTCCTGACACCTGTAATCCAGTGTTTTCTGTCATCTGTTTCCAAAACTCTGTCCAATGGCAAAAAATAATATGTGACAGCACACAGCCAGAGTGACAACCAGTTCAACATTTTATCCGCTTTAATCAACATCAACAAGAGGCAGCTTGACATGGAATTAATTAATGTAATTACTTTCATGTGGATTTAATTTGGCACCATAGCAGCTTGATCTTTGCAACTGTCAGCTCCCTGATAAAACAAGGGAGGAGCGCGTTATGTTTGTACATGGCCACTGGCAAGCGCAGAGTGCAAAGTGTCAAAGGCTATTTTTAGATTGACTGAGGCCCAACAATTGAGCCTTCTGCCATTTGTTGTCCCATTACAAAAGAGTCAGAGCCCACACATGCAGAAATCTGGAGTGGCTAAGAGAGTAAAAAAAAAAAAAAGACCTGATAAAAGGCCTGGTATCTCTTATGCTTACAAAAACTTTAAAATAGTAGAAGGTTTTTTTTTTTTTTTGGCCAATCAAAAGTTTGAGGTCAGTAAGATGTTTTAATGTTTCTCAAACACTTATGCTCACCAAGGCTGCATTTGTTTGATCAAAATACATTATAAAGGGTAATATTGTAAAATATTATTACAATTTAAAATAACTTTTTTTAAATTTGTATATATTTTAAAATTTAATTTATTCTTGGGATGGCAAAGCTGAATTTTCATTACTTCAGTCTTCAGCGTCACATGACCCTTCAGAAATCTTGTTCATTTGTTATTATAAATTTTGAAAACAGTTCTGCTTTTTACAGTAATATATTTTTGTAGAAACAGAAATATTTTGTAACTTTATAAATATATGTACTGTAATTTTAGATCAATCTAATGCATCCTTTCTGAATAAAAGTATAAATTTCTTTCAAGAAAAAAAAAAAACTTACGGACCCCAAACTTTTCAACAATAACAAATATTAATATAACAATCCTTTAGTACCATGACATATACTGCATCATAGCACCATGGTACTATGACCTATTGACAACTACACAACAGTAACAGTACAATACACTTTGCACTACATGCCATGATTCAGTGAGATGCAGCACAATATCATAATTGCATCGAGATTGAAACTGCGAGTGAGAAAGAGACATGTGTGAGGGAGAGAGAGAGTTAATCTGTGGTATCAGTTTCAATCTCTCTTGTGCGGTTCATTTCACTTTTGTCCAGTGCTGCATCTCATTGAATCAGTTCTGACCATGCTGACAAACGCTGGTTTCAGATTTTACACTTATTTGGATGACCTACTTCTTCAAGTACTGAACTGTAGAAAATGATGTAAATCAGCACATAGATAAATACAAACAGCAAAGAAAATAACGGCATCGCTCTAAAGGAATTGAGCCTGGTTTATATTCCATAAAATTGGGAAGTGGAATTGAAGTGATAGCACCACGTTTCTGAAGGCACACTGGATGAGTAGATGTGCCTGTAATATTGCAAATAATGTTAAAAGTCACATTCTTTCACCTAAACAGTCAAGCTAACAACAAATTTATTTTATACTGGGCAAACATTTTATTAATGTTATTAAACTGAGGTTAAATTTGAGTTTAATATAACATTTATTGATGGTGTATAATAATGAAAAAATTCTTCTTCACACTGCTGGTTCAGCTAATATTTTCTCCACAGTGCCATCTAGTGTTTTGGAGAATAATGCAAATGTGGCAAAACATCAAGTTTAAAGTGCTGTGCGCTATACTTACAAAAAAGTTTCAAGGACTAATTTAGTCCTATTTATGTGATAAAAATGACTTTTGGAAACACATTCTTTTTTTTTTTTTTGAAGACACTAAGGAGAATTTGGACAATGAATGTTATTGCTACCTATTATATTCTGCTTTAAACACTAATACTACTACAATATCTAGTCCCAAATGAGCTGAACAACATGGGATGCATTTTATAACAGATTGATGAAACTCTAAAAGTTTAATGGACAGTCGAAACAGCATGAAAAATAATACAGAGCTGCTGTAATAGAGCCCAATACAACACTTTAGCATCAGATGAATAACGAGGTCCTAAACACCTCTGGGATCTAATTTAGTGCGTTTTATCCTGCTGTAATACAAACCCAATATCATATCTGCAAAACAACCATAATTTAATGAGCCATACAATGTTATATCAAGACAGACCACCAGTATACAGGTTCCCCTCCAAATAACGCAATGTCTTGAAGATGTTATAATATTATTGATGATTGTCACGCTCTCCTAACAAGAAATCAAAAGGCCTGATCGAAGCAAATCTGTCTTTTGCTGCATGGACATGTATTCATGACTGAATTCCTCTCTCAGTGCAAGCTTTATTCTGTCAGTTAGACTAGCACTGATATTGATTGATTTGCAGAGTGAACTCCACAAATCAATTTCTCCCATTGCTTTGCCATTCCAATTATTCCTCCCGCTCTGTTTTCATTGAACCACATTCTCTACTAAAACAGAAAAAAATTACGGACACGCTCATCCACTAATGCACTTGTGTGTGTTCCCGTTCATGTTTGGTCTTGGACTGGATTGCGGTCTAGAAGGAAAAAAACAGGCCCTAATTACACCTCCGAATTTGCAGACTCTGGCAGTGTGCGTCTGACGTAATTACCGCACTGACACAATTTTACACCGTTCCAGGGTGTAATTAAGATCGCGGATTCATGGGTACTAATATTGTATGAACAGTTGTTAATGACGCTTTGCTTGGAGGAGTTATAATGAAATTATAATGGCGCAGTTAAGAAGGTCAGTTGTTTTCGGCGGCGGCACGGAGCGTCCTTACCTTTTCCCACTCTCTGTCCTTGTTCAGCACGATCACAACCAGTTTGGGATGCACCTGGTAACCATCCTCGGTGAAGGACAAATCTCTGCCATCCCAAGTCACGTTCATCATGTACCTAGAGGAAGCAGAAACCTCATCAGGTTCAGAAATAGAGCAGTCAGGTGACACAAATCTTATCTGCTGCAGTAGGCATGAAAATAACTTTTCAGCCTAATGATGTTCATTCTATACATAAAACATCAAAATAACATATGAAGATCATTTTCAACATGCAAGCAGACAAAAAGAGGATTTAATGAGCCATCTGAAGACTAATGACTGACCTAAATCAGACTTCACACATTAAGCGAAGATGAAAAATCTGCCCGAGTTATTATTAGTATCCAATGAAATCTACATGAATCACTACTATTCCTTCTTTTGTCTCCATCTTCAAAGAAATAGAAAGAGAGAGCATGTAGATATAAAACAGAAGAGACCAGTCTAAGGAAACATTCTGGGTTCAATACATGCTCTTTGATATAATTTGTGGCATTAGATTACCACAGAAATTAATTCTGACTGGTTCCTCAGTTTCTTTTTAAGTATTTATTTTTTTAATTATTATTTTATTTTTTTTGGTTACAGTGCAGAAGTAAACCGGGCCAGCATTCCGGAAGACTGAAAAACGAGAAAGTAAAGCTTATATTCTTGTGGAATTTCAACAAGTTGTCCAGAGATCCCCAGGGGTCCACACGGTGGTGCTAGTAGGTCCACAGAAAATTTTAAAGATTTTTTTTTAATGAAATATATTTGTTAAAGTTAACATGTTAACTTTTCCATTTTGTTAGATTTACCATAACTCATAGTATTACTACTTCATTTATCTTTCTAAAGTTGGAAATTATGAGATGATGATGATGATGATTGACCCTAATTTTTATCAGTAAGAAATACAAAAAAAATCTTCATAATGTTTTTGAAAAAATAAAAACTTTTTTTAAAGTATTTTTAATTTATATTTATTTTTACTATATATTTATTTTACATATTTATTGTCTAGTATGAAGTCTCTGGCAAAAAGAAAACTTTGAAAACCCCTGGTCTTAATGTTTTTTTCTTTCTTTCTCACAATATTAAGGGTGTTGATAAAACCAGACGGACGTTTTTTTAGGGAAAGTAAAACCCAAGTGAATAGAGTCTGGATTATTCTCTTTTCACAATGCCACCCTGTTCCTGTCATATCACTTTAAAAGCGATAAACCAAGGAACACGTTTTGCCATCCCACTTTTCACACCATGTCGTCAGGTATCCCTCAGAGACCCGAGTGGCAAAACACATCAGACTGCCCCTTGCTGTTTCCCTGATAAACGGCCTCTATTCGGGTCAAGCCAGGCAGTGCTCCCCTCACCTCCGAGGGTTGTCTTTGAGCCTGCCACTCCCGATTGAGTGTCTGAGGACTTCTGGGCATCTGTGAGCAGATGCTTCAGAATCTTTCTAAATCCATGCTATGGTAAGTGCACATGCTAAGCTTCTGTGCACTTTCTAAAATCCACATTGTGGTAAGTGTGCATGCTAAGCACTCTGCGCACTTTCTAAAATCCTGTATGGTAAGGGTTACGCTCTGTCAGCTTCATTCCCTTTCTCTGAGTTGGCTTAGGCCCCGGTACTCGCCTTGGGCTCCACTCAACTAATGTATCTCTGTTGATACATTTCTGAGCAGGATGAAAAAAAAATGCATGTTTGGGCCCTGTTGTTTCCAGACTCTGCAGGTCTGGTTAGAGCAGGACCCATGCTCTCTATCGGGTAGAGAGCACGAGGCTGGATTGGGGTTACAGTGCCTTTTATCTAGTCAGCATCGCTCCCCTCACTGTAGACGGTTATTTATGAGCATGCTGCTTCCTTCTGAGCATTTGAGTTCCCTCCCCTTCAGAGGAGTTGAATTCCCCACTCCGTGGGCTATTCTCGTGGATGGATTTTAACAGTGCTCCCCTCATTCAGAGGGTTGTCTATGAGCACGCTACCCCTTTATCTGAATTCGGAGTTCTCCTCCCACATGGAGAGTTGAGTTCTCTGTTTCCCAGAGCACCTGGAACCAGCAACATCAGGCGAACTAGGCCCTTCCTCTGCCTCCCTGATACGCTGAGTTTTTTGGCTAAGCTTGCAGTACGCTTACCCTTCAGGATTTCTATGAACATGCTGTAGGTCGAGCCCCCTCTCGGCTGAGAGCTGGGTGTTATGCTCCCTCAGCTAGGTAACTTACTGCTAGCCAGACCAGCATTATGACCATGAGGGTGAGTTAGTGACTTCTCAGACGTATTGTTCTATGGGATGCGCCATTTCCATCTATGTGAGCTCTGTGTATGTTATGGATTGCCCCCTCAGAGTGCGACGGTCACAAAATCCAAAAATCCTGTATGGTAGGGGTTACGCGCTGCGGCTTCATGCCTTTTCTTTGAGTCGGTCAGGCCCCAGTTCCACCTTGGGCACCACTCTACCTATGTATCCTCAGTGATACCTACTTTAACAGAGTGTTGCTACTAGGGTTCTGTTGAGACAGTTCCTTCAGCAAGATCATGCAGAGTAAGCGGTAGCCCCCTGGGTGACAGGCCAAGACCTAGTTACGATTCTATGCGCTTGGTCGTATCCCCTTAAAGGAATCTCTTCCTGATTCCAAGCCTTTGAGCTCTACACTGGGCCC